CGGCCGCCCCTCAGGCGCCGAGTGACCCCGGCCCGGCGCAGGGGAAGGAGCGCGGCCTGGGGATGCGTTTTCCTGGAAGTGCTGTAGTTGCCAAGGAAATGCACAACGCGGAAGGGCCCAGACCACCCTCCCTCACCTCTCCTGTGTCGAGAAAGTTCGCCTACGCTACAACCACCGTTTTTAAGGATTTCTGGACCGTGTTCTCTGCCCAGCCCATCCCGCCCTCCCCCTGAAGAAAAGCATCGTGAAGTCACTGGCGAGACGCGGAGCGGGTGTGCAGCTCCCGGAGGAGACGGCTGCAGAGGCACAGCCGCTGCCCGGCCACGGCACCCGCCCCAGGCAGGGCCGCCAGCACCACCCCCCATCGCCTTCACTCTGCCCAGCGACTCCTGCAGCTCCCGCAACGCTGTACATGGTGCTGTCACAGAACTGCTGTGGAACGGTAGCTCTTACTCAAGTATCCCTGAGGAGTGCTTTCACCTGCATAATACTTTCTAAGATAATTCAGTTTCAAGGTCCCCACAGCTCAAAAAAAAAAAAACTTAAAAAACCCTTCTCAGGTAAAACATCATTGTCCATAATCTAAAAGTAAGCATTTCTGTAACCAGAAGAGAAGCTGCCAGCTTACAAAAGCCAGGAGAACGGTGACTGTTCAGCACCTCCAAAGAGGTTAGTTTTATTTACACATAAATATTTGTATGCCTTAGCATTCCATCATGTAATTCCCCTGAACACACACCCTTACAGAAACCCCCCCAGAGAGATCAAGCTAACCATCCTTTAGAATCTGGGGTTAAAAATCTTCATAGATTGAAAAGCCATGACTCCGTGCCTTCAAATACCTGCTTCTCTTAAAAGCACAAAACTATGAGTCATGACAGGGTGTTGGCAGAGCACAGCAGCCAGTTTATAGGAAGCACGCAAAAGAGCCCAAGCCCTCAGCCTTCTGTGATCGCCCACTCCTGCAGCCAAACAGCAGGGTCTAAGACATAGCACAGGGGAGTTGAGAGAACTTTCACTGTAAATCAGTACTGAAAGTACTGTTTCCTCCAGTAACAAGTGGAAAAGCTTATGCCAAGGGAAGAGTGAAGCTGGAAAAATCCAGGAGGGTAATAAAATTGTACGTATAACTTTCCCAAGCAAACTGCTGATGAAGCTGTAGGAGGCCCAAGCCCAGTGGTTTGCAGCAAGACAGATGGCCTTCATGGGTCAGTCTTAACTCCAGCCCTGGCAGAGGAGCTTGGGCCATGCAGGAGCAATGTGGACATCTGTGCTCTTGGACCAGAGCCCAGGCACAGCAAAGCAGGTCTGGCCAGCGCTGGACCTGCTCAGCCTTTTTGTACCACTGCTGCCCACAGCTCTGCTGTCAGCACCAAGCTCCATGCTGCAAGGCTCTGTGCCTCACCAGTGCTCCCTCCTGGTCATGCAAGCTTCACTCAGGAGGGCCTCTACAGCAGGAAGAGAGCAAAGCCAAATCCAGCAAGGACAGTTACTCACATGGTACGAGACTCCCAAGCACTGGCACTTGCCAGTCTGGTTCTGCCTGTCATTTCACATCAAATGATGACATTCTAGTTCAACTGCAAGCAGCACCTGCAGTAAGCCACTCGGTAACAGGCAATATCTGCTACATAAACAGGCTTAGCTAAGGAATGTTTGCGCACAAGGTACATAAACTAGCAGTAGTCCTAGGACTGCACTCAGAACTTTGCCCCACAGATATCAGCCTGTCTAGAGAAAACGACAAAGGTCATTTAATTTCATTGGCTGTTGTTCAGCCTTCTCAAACCAACAGAAGACAACCAGCACAGTAGGCATCATCAGTGTATTTCATTGCAGTTAGTGGCTGAACATTGCAGAACAAGCGCTAACATACGCCACGGTGAACACTAGAGAAGACGCCACCCCCAGCAGAGCTGACGTAGGAGAAACACAGCACTTCAACTTTCAGATTTCATAGTGCGTCACCACTGGTGGCTCTTTACTGGGGTCTCCTCCTCTCTCCAGATACAGGTCATTGAAGGGATATTGCTTCGGTCCCTACGAAGAGAGACAAAGAGCAGCAAATTCACCAAACAAGAGGTCAAGGACAATGTTTCACCCCATCCCACCCCCACCCAAATCAAGGCTTGTCATTTACAACTTAAATTTTCATTTCTTAAGTGCTTCCGCAGGAAGAGCAGAGTACAAAGGAAGTAAATTCAGAGATGGAGTTTTACAAAGAACTCTATGTCTTTTAACAGAAACATCAAGGTGGTCTTGCATTTAATCTTGACCAACAGTTCCTCTCACAGCACAATATGCTGCAAAAGCTGTTTGTGTATGCAGACACATTTTTCTGAAGTACACTCCGAATGACCCAGGTCATGAGATATAACTAAAAACACAGGGCAAGAAAAGAGAGATAGCATCTCCCTCGAGCAGATGCACATAGGGGAAGAGAACACCTAGACCAAAGAGGGGATACTGTAAGCAGCATAGCTTAAAATTAGTTCCCTGTGAACAGGAACTGCTCACTACGAAAGAATCTGTGAGCTGAGCAAAGTCAGTCAACAGAACTCAAGCTGGATGAGGCCACAGGAAGTCGCCTGGCCCATCCCCGGCCTGCAGCAGGGTTTTGCATTCATGCTCACCACTCAGCTTCAGCAAAACCACTCTTCTGGGCATTGGCAGTGGCAAGAAACACAGACACTTTTCCCCCCTTTACCTAAGGGTGTCACTCACCACAGGCCTGTAAGATGGATAGATCTCTCCAAGACCAAACATGATCAGCATGGTACTCAAAAAGACAAGGAAGTGTTTGCGCATGGTGTGCCAGGGAACTGGAGTAGGGGATGTATCCACACGGTTCCGAATATACATGTCAAAGTCCCAGTGCATCTAAAGAACAAAGGAAAAGGGCCGCACATTTACCAACAGTCCTCAAGCTGCTTGTACCAAGGCAAGAAGTGCTTTACAGTGTTCCCAAAACTGCCAGAAGCTGTTTCATCTCCACCTTACAAGCAGAGATAAAGCCACAGAGGAGGTAAGTGATTTACCTACAGTCACAGCAAGTTGTCACTCACATAAAACTCAGGACTCTAAATTCCATCCTATGCTTATACCAGCCAAGATGCTTCATCATAGGATAGCCGCAGCTTTTATTTATATACATGATCCCCTTAGGTTTGTTCCCCAGCACTGCTGAAAAGGCATGGTATAAATTGGTACCCTCATTTCTGGAAGTTCAGTCACACACCCAAACAGAAGGAGCAGTGTCATTTGAAACAAAGAAGCAACTACATGCCACTTGGAAACTGGTTCCTCAAAACAGGCAGACCACCTGCTGCTGTTACTGCACGCCAAGAGCAGGGCTGACAGCAAGCTAATGCCCCTCCTGACTGAAGCAGAAGGCACTTTAGCTTCTGCCTTGAAGTGGACCCAGCATGTTCTGCCCATGGTCTACCTTCACACTAATGAAAGCGGGGAACTCCCTAATCTGAAGCTCTAAACTGCCTCTAGCTCCCCATCTTTCCCCTTTGCACACAGAGCCGTTTGCTATCCAGCCCAGAGGGCCAGACTGAGCAGAACCGCACTGCCGAAGCAGAGGCATCTGCTGACCCCGGGGACGCACTAGCATGCTCCACTCTGTCTCCTGCTGCCAATCCCATGTGCCAGCCTTCCTGTACCGAGCACCTCAACAACACAGAATCACCACGTTTTGTCACGTGCTTCTACAGTCATTCTAATATGCACTTGTACCGTGGTACACATGCTATGATGCTCTGGCTGTTTATACTATGACAGATTACATACACCTGCTTACATCATCTCTACTTTCATTAAGGGGAGCTCAAGTCAATTACCAAGTCCGGTAATCACAGTTAGATTGCAGTCATTCACAGAAAGGTCACACACTAACTGAAAAGTTACTCCTGAGAAGCAGTTTGAGGAACTTAGAACTTGACAGTTAAAACAGGCACTTTACTCATCCATTTCTCTTAAGGATATCTTGCGAACTTTCTTCAGAGAAAACCTCCTCATTTGTATTCTATCCCAAAACAACCCTGAAGTAATAAAGCAGCAATAGCTACTTCCGTTGGACTAAAAGGACTTCACTCAAATGATGGCATCTTTGCTAAACGATTCTGAACTAAGCCCTCATACTGAATCAGATCGGGCAAAGAACATGGAGGAGACTTTCCTGTTCCTACAGAGAAACTTAAGTTTGTAAAGCCTCCCTCCTCGTATGTAGCAAGATGTTAACACTCCTCAGCGCTTTCAAAGTACTTACCCTGACAGCCACAGCCTAAGTCTCCCTCCAGCCAACCACCCCCGCACGCAGAGGCAACACACCGCTGCACTCGGCGACGCAGTTACGCAAAGAATTAAACAGCAAGCGCTAACGAGATGGGCGTGTTACTACTGAGTAACAGGAGCATTGGAACCATAATGAAACGTGCTGCTGGCAGTCCTACCGGCTCTCCCCAGTTACGCCTCATGTCCGGCTGGTCCCACTGGTACCAGGGGTCTCTCTCGTGAAGAGACTTGTTAGGGAGCTTAGGATAGTCACCATACCTGTGAGAAACAGACAAAAACCCAAGCATACAAGAAATCCGCATTAATTTAGGTAAGTTGTGTAGGAGACACTATGGGAAAGACCTACGGAAATGGAAGACTTCAACACTACTTCGTTTTTACAGGTCCTATGCACATACATTCTTTTAAACACATACACGAGACAGTCATCACCTTGACGCCGGTCGCCGTAACAAGCGGCGCTCCTCAAAGCAGCCTTTTCAGGCAACACCAGCTGGGAAAAAACGCAAGCTTAAGGGGCACGCAGGACCCCAGCTCTGGCGCTTTGCACCTGCCGAAGCGCTCCCCAGCATCCGGACGCCTCCCGGAATCCGTGTTGGGGCAGGGGCTGC